TATATATATATATTTAATCAAATACAGGGTTTGGTAATAAATTGCAAAGTTGATACTCTAAGTCTGCAGAACTGGACTTGATGGTCCTAAGGATAATAAAGAGAAAATCTGAAGAGTGACTTGTAGTGGAAGGTGTTTGGTTGTCATTAGTTACAAGAAGCACATTCTCAAACTTGTTGCAGAACATGACTGGTTTGTTTCAGTGGGTGATACTTTGTTTTTTGGTTGTTTTCCTGTTATTGAAGTTAAAATCTTTCTGTTACGGTACAAATCTTCTCTTGAGCCTCTATTTTTCTCTATCGTTTTTTTCCTTTCACCATAACATGGGCCTGTGCAGGAAAGATAGGTTGAGTTTAGAACAGCTGCTTATCAGAAGAGAAAGTATGTGACAAGAGAATCTGCATCCTTTAAAAAAAGGGGGGGGGGGAGGGAAAGGTCACATTTGTTTTGCAATTTTTATGGTCCATATATTCTTATGGAACAGGTCTGTAACATTAAGTCCCTAAAACTTGCTAGGTACTTCCTAAGTAATTCAGTCCCTATATAAGGTCTGTGAAGTCTTTTGCTCACAAGTTAAGATTCTTTTTTTTTTTTTTTGCCATCCTAAAAATATTTATATTGAAGATTATAAAGCATGTATACTAACAAAATAGAAAAACATAATCAACTTTAAATGGTATACCTTAACAAATTTTTTTTTAGCTTAAATGGCAAAAACATTCCTTTATATTCACATCATAAATTTTATTGGACCAAGAAGCTGACAAGTTTGTTCAAAAGTGATAATGGACAGCATTTTTGTTTTTGTATAGCTGTCTAGAGCTAATATTTTCATATACTATAAATGACATCTTCTCTTTTTCTTCCTAGCACAACATCCTCAAATAAATCCATCAGAATGACACCTTCTCAGGTTACCTTTGAAATAAGAGGAACTCTGTTTCCAGGTATTGTAAATGAGCATTTTTCTTAACTGGTTTATCTTAAATATGGAGGTGTTGTTAGATGAAAATGTCTTTATGGTTTGTCTTATGTCCAAGCCAGAAATGTGCTTGGAGCATAGTAAACTCAGGGAAAAACAAACAAAAAAACTAGTATTTTCCAAGAAAGCTGTGATTTTATTTATTTTTGCATATGACAAAGATAATTGGGCTATGATGTTTAAATAGCATAAAAATAAGGGAAATTTTGCTAGTGCAAGAAATTAGAAAAATACTTGGTTAAGATAACTTTGTTCCCAATTTATAAATTTTTATTTTTAGCTTTATTGTTTTTTTTTGTTTTGTTTTTTTGCTGTCTACTTAAGCAGTGTGAAATAATTTTTATGTAAGAGAGCATGTCAAAACAGCATCATCCTGGGTTATATACCTTGTTTAATATACTCTGGCTATACTAGGCAGTTCCTCAAATCTGTTGCATTTCTTTTCTAGAACCATTGGGATTTTCTCAAATTATTTCCTCTAGATCTGTGCTCTACCCCACTTAACTTTCTTTACTGTAATCTCCCATACTTTCAACTAGATTAAGGTCCCTATTTATCCTTTAAGAAAGAAAAATCAGGGAAGGTATAATAACCTAAGTTTATTATAAGAAATATGGTTACTTTAAAGGATATAAGTATTTTAAATATTTTGACATGAAATCTTTGTACTCAATCACCCTGTGCTTTACGCATGTATTTAGAACTCTGAAAACTGAATGACTCTCATACCTATAATTTTAGTTAGGTTTTATAGCCCAAGCTTACAAAATGCTCATGCAGGTGGCTAAACCAACTGTAATTCTAGTTTTTCCAGAGTAGTGCCTAAAGCTAGAAACCGAGCTACTATCAGAATGTGGAGGAATTTGTCTTGACCTTTATCATTTGGGTTCAGTTCATTATATTTCTCTTTATGAACTTTAATTATATTAACTCAGAAAGTGTTGATATAAGTCAAAGACTTCCGTGTGTTTATATCCAGGAAGGTGGTAGACTTTTTAAAAAATACATATTTTTTAATGACTTCAGAGAGAAAGGGAGAGGGAGAGAGAGAGAGAGATACATCAGTGATGAGAGAATCATTGATCAGCTGCCTCCTGCATGCCCCCTACTGGGGACCGAATCTGCAATCTGGGCATGTGCCTTGACCAGGAATCAAACTGTGACCTCCTGGTTCATAGGTTGATGCACAACCACTGAGCCACACCCGCCTTGCAGGAGGTTTAGACTTTTGCTAAATAAAAGAAATTTAGCAAATATAGATAACTATATGTTGGTTTGTCTATTGATGAGAAGTGTTCTGATGACAGTCATTATTTTTATAAGGTGTACTAGATTTTTCAATGTCTTTTTTTTTTTAGGATATTTATTGTTGTTACATTGCTTCTGTCCCACTGATAATTTTCTTGATCTTTAACTTGCTAGTTTGAATTTCAGGAAATATAAATTATTATTTCTTTAGAATACTTGTATGCATTTAGCGATTGCCCCTTTAAATTGGAAGCTCCCTAGAGGGCAGTAACTGTGGTTTGATTAGTCAGTCATCTTGGTGCTTTTTATTGGCTCAATAAATATTTGAACAAATGAAGGAAAGTTCATTCCTCCACATCCCTCTTTTTCTCTGGTTTTGGGTATGTAAAGGTGGGTCAAGTTAATAATGCAGATGCTTGTGTAATACCTGAATCTAAACCCACGTTTCCAGTGGGGGTCCTCCATCTTTGCTAAAGGGTACTCTGCATCCGGTCAAACTAATACAACTGACTGATCTTTAAAACTAAAAGTGGGAACTTTTCTATTTATGCCACTGTAACTGGTGTTCTGTTTCTTTAGGAGAAGTTTTTGCTATATGTGGAAGCTGTGATGCTTTGGGAAACTGGAATCCTCAAAATGCTGTGGCTCTTCTTCCAGAGAATGAGACAGATGAAAGGTAAGCATCGAAATGTTAGGTTACAGAATAATTGCAATGTTCAGATTATAAATTGGGGTCTGTCTAAGATGGTTCGGTATGTTTTTCTTCTTTTAATTTTAATTTTTATCAAAGTTATCACATGTATGTAGATGATAAAGAGTGAAATAGCTTTACAAAGTTTGCTGTGAGGAAAAAGTTCATGTTCCTCAATTTCTACCTCTCAGATAACCATTTTCAACTCTTAGTTGGTTTTTCTGGTACCACTACATCTTACCTAATAATAGACAAACATGTAAATTGACCATCCCTTCGCTACGCTCACCAGCCAATCAGGAGAGTAAGCAAACTAACCCAACAAAGATGGTGGTTAATTTGCATACATAGGCTCGATGCAGCGGAGCGAGACGGAAGGCTCTGGCTGGAGCAGCGAAGGCCTGGGTCCTGGGTGCTGGAGGAAAACCGGTGCTGGCAGCCAGGGGAAGGGAAGGCCTATTGCATGAATCTCTTCGTGCAACGGGCCTCTAGTTTCTAAATAATAGACTTATATTGCTATTTCTTTTCTTTTTTTAACTTTTAGGCAGTATCTTTTGGTTTCTCAGTACATATTCTTGATAAAAGATTTAATTTTTGCTCTAAAGTAACTTTTTTTCAGATGTGTATAGTATTAACTGAAAGTAACAGAATAGAGCACATACTTGTTTAGATAGTTAAGCTAAGGTAATGAAATGAGTTCACTATGAACATTAAATACAGCACTAAACTTAGCATGGGTATATTGGTGCACTGGGCTGAGAAAGGTAGATCTGGGTGTCGGTTTCAGTTCTGCAGTTAACCGTGGTCTTGGGCACATCTAATATCTCTAGACCTTGGTTACCTCATTTACACAGTAAAGGGGTTAGGATAGAATCAGTGAATATCAACAAAGGTGGTGCTTCTCTACTTGGGAATATCTGGAAATGTTATGGGTTGTATGTGTGGGGTGGGGGGCAGAGGTGGTAAGGAGAGATGAGATTCTAAATAGTATATAAATACATGCAATACCCCTAGGAAGAAATACTAAATTTGGTGATTATGAAGCTCAAATTCTGTTTTCCTATGGAGCAGCACTACTAAAAGTGTGGCCTGTGGACCAGTGCTAGACAAAAACTTTTTTTTTTTAAATCAGTGCATGATGTGAGAAATATACACATTGAGAACAAGCATTTGGAAATGTTTATGGCAGTTTGACATGCTAGGGCATCCATGCATGTCACCATGGACACACCTTGTTGAATGGGTACTGTTGCAGGACAGATTGGGTAAAACAAATGAGCAAACAAAAACTGGTCCTTTGAAGCAGATGGCTTGAGAAGCACTGATGGCAAAGCAAAGGAAAATAAAACAATACCCTAATGTAAGCAAAGAAAAAGAAAAACATAAAAAATACATAGAACATCCTTGTCACTATTTGTCATTAGTGTGCACATTTTCTCAGCCACAAGTAAAGTTGGAATCACAGAGGAAAGGGATGTTGAGTCCTTTCAAGTGGCTATTTTCCCCTTGACTTTTCGGATCAGCCAGTTCTATGAAGTGAAACCCGAATTTTTCTGAACTGTTCCTAAAATACCCCTCTGCTCAGAACTTTTGAGCTTCCCTGTCACCTATCTTAAGTCCATTTCATCCACCCTCATCAAAGTGATGTGAATAACATGAGGTAACACCTAACAACTTAACTTGAGACCAGCCATTTTTCACATTGTTGGCATACACTGAAATATATTGATTCATATATGGCAGATAAACAGAGCTTCACAAGCAGAAAGGAAGTAGATAATACAAAATTATACAAGAAGATAATAGAGAATAGGTGGCCTTCGCATCAAAGTGTTCTGTACCCCTTTTTCACAGAGTCTCTTAAGCCTCTTCATACCTACAGGCTTGTGGTGACAAGAGCTTTGGTTTTTTTTTTTCTACTTAGTTAATTTGAAGGTCTTGGTATTGTTTCCTAACAATGCAGAAAATATGAGTCACTTTGGTTTTACTTGCTCTCCTTATAGATTTTGGGGAAGGATTTGAAGGCAATTCAAAATCATGCAGGGGCACTAAACCTTCTCACTTGCCTGGTTTATTTTTAATTTCATTAGGTTATGTTCATTCTTGCTCTCACTGAGCAGTGCCATTTCATTTTTAACTTTGCTACATTTGCTTGGAGAACTAGAGTGAAAAAGACTAATTGCTTTGCTTTCCATCTCTTTTCTTTACTTAGTGGTTGTTAACCAGAGGTACACATTAAAATAACTTCTGAGGGCTTTTAAATTATACACCTGCCTAATCATGACCAGTGTGGCTTAGTTGGTTGGCTATTGTCCTGTGCACCAAAAGGTTGCCAGATTGATTCCTGCGTAGGGCACATGTCTAGGTCTTAAGCTCTATCCCTGGTAGGGGGCATGCAGGAGGTAGCCTATTGATGTTTTACTCTCACATCTTCCTCTCTCTAAAAATCAATAAACTGTTCTTTAAAAAGATATACATATATATATATTCCTAGACCTTTTTCCTGGATTGAGAAATAATGCATTAGAGAGAGGCCCCAGTATATTTTTCAGAGCTTCCCACCAGTTACAGTGTGCACATCTGGGGCTAGTTTTATACACACTAGCTTACTGTTTTATGGATGAAATAGTACTGGGAATTTGCTGCCAACCCCCCTCCCTTATTTTTATTTTTATTTTTTTGGTAGTAGAGATGGGAAATAAACTTCACCTTATAGTTGGTAGAGTTTGCTTGGAGTCCTGTGTTGAAAATGATTCTGAGCCTATCAGGGAAAAGTAATAAGGGTACATATGCCAAGCATTTGCTCTCCTTGCTTTAGAGCCGTGATTCTCAACCAATCATATATCCAGTGCCCTATGAAATTTTATCAAATTCCATATGATCAGGCTCTACCCCAGACCTATGAAAGCAGAGTCTCCCAGGAAAAAGTCAGGGTATGTGTATTTTTTAACTACCATGTTTTTCTTATAGCTGAAGCTAAGTCTATGGGTGACAGCTGGCTGTGGATATTTCTTAGGAACTACAATTGAGTCAGAGTGAGGATAATGCCTAAAGCCTGTCTTGGCAGCCAGGTGGGGAGCAGTGCTAGCCATCTAGTGTCATGGAAGAACATTTGGAACTGCCGTTTATTCACTGAACTGTTCAGGTGGAATTAATGTTTGGGTAATGGTCTATGACAGTGGCTCTCAAACATAAGTGTTTGTCATCAGAGTTACCAGTTAAATGATAGATTGTTGCCCCCCCCTCACCCCCCAACTTTCTAATTTAACAGGTTTAGGTGTGGCCTGAGAATTTGCATTTTTTTTTTTAGAATT